TGATCACTCGGAGTCTTATTATACGAGACTTTGTTTTTGTTAGCTTTTTGTGAGTCTTTCTGTCGTTTTCTGTCATAATTTTTGTGGATTTTTATGAATTCCTTATAAAATGATAAACAGATTAATAGTAAATGAATATAATATATAATAAGATATTATAGTAATTATAATAATAATAATATGATACATACCCTTTTCATTCCCATAGTAATACACTTGTCTAGCCTGCACTCAATACAAAACGACCTGGTGTGAACGTTTATGTCACAGGTATGGTCAAACATACAGGTGCTGTCCTATGAAATAAATTGTATTTTTAATTTTAATAGCAAAATATATACATTTAATACTTACAGTCGGTTTGAAGGCATGCCTACGAAAAAACTGTTTACACGACTGACACGAAATGATATTAAAATTTTTGCCTAAAATATAAATTAATGAAAATAAATTGTAAAGTTTTAAATTTAGTTGTAACTTACCCTGGGCCTTGTCACCACATATCAAACACAGCATAATTGTATCATTCATTTTTGGTTTACATAAAACTATTATTGAATTGAGTTAAATATTTGCTATCATTTTAATTATGTATCTATGACTCCATTACAGGTAATGTAATAAATAATACACTTATATAATGTTTATGAAATATAATCTCATTATACAGATAAATGCCTGGCATCTGGTAATCATTTAATACAAAAACTTTAGCAAACTATGCGATAAGTAATGTACTGAGTGACTTGTACATTTTACTTGAGTTTTTTCCCTTGCAGTATACATGTAATTATTACATTAATTATAAAGTATAATTTTTAAATTATAGTATTTTACGTAGTTAAAAAGTTCAATAATTTCTATACAAGTACTTGATTGATGATAAATACAAAGACTTGCGTAATAATAAAAAACATTTTTTAGAGTTGAGGATAATTTTTAGTTAAACATATAACAAACATAAAAATAAAAATTAATATATTTACAATATTGTGTATATGTGCGTAATTAGTAGGTTAATTTGACCTTGTTAACTGAAAATATTTCTGAAATGAATGTGATTTTAGGCAAACATGTGGTCAACATATGTACCAAAAATATTTGCATTTGACACACAGTTTGCAAAGACTTATTCAAATGAATTGTAGGTTAGAGTCAGACCGCTATTATCACTGAATGAGTGGACAATAAAAGTGGAAATAGTTGTGAAATATTTTAATAAAATATTTCTTGAAACTCGTGTAATTTGAAAATATTATAAAATTTATTTTCGTTATCAAGAAAATATATAAATTATTATCTGAAATTATGTGTGATTTAAGTAAATTACAAGATTATTTTCTTATTTGTAATTAAATGCAAAATTTATTAATTTTTATTTTTGTGCTCATTATAATAATAATATGTTGAGTGAAATAAACTAAAAGATTTGGAGAGTTTGTGTCAATGTTTAGACAAAATGTAGTGTTTTTTGTCACAAAATGCTAATGAATCAGAAATGAATGAAAGGAAATTCAAATATAGTGAAAAATATTTAAGTAAAGGTTTTACAACAAAACAGACTAAAGAAACACAAATGTATACAATTTGTATAAGATTTTGATTGTTATCATAATACTTGTAAAATTAATATTTTTTATGAGAGAGAGAGAGAGAGAGAGAGAGAGAGAAGTTAAATACACTTAAAGTTAAATATATGTATTTTATTTGTCAAATTACTTGTCCTAACTATACTAACTTTATAATTAATGTCACAAACATTTTTATTTTTAATTTTTTGTATCATAATATAATTTTAAAAATATAAATGCTAATAATTTTAAATTGTGCCTGATTAGAGGTGCTACAGCTCTAGGTTTGGGAAAATTTATACAAATTTTAAAAATATAAATATTAACTTGTAAGTTTATATATAATTTGAATGAATAAACTTGTTAATTAAACAGTAATTTATATATTTGCGACATATTTGATGTCAAATAGACTTAAATGCATATAAATGTTATGCAATGGGAATGAAAAAAAACTATTATTACTATCGATAATATAAAAATATCTAAATGTATTTAAGTAATATTTTAAGGATAGAAATATATATAAAAACTTCTTAATTATTGAGTACTTGAAACTAAAATAATTTAGGTGAATACAATAACAAGATAATTAAATCTTGAATACTTGAACTGAAACCGTTTATTATCTATTTTAATTATACATAAAATAATTAGCATATCGACTATGTAATTATGAATTATGTCAATTTATATATGGGGGAATACAGAAATTTCTTTTTATTAAATTATAATGATTTTAAATATTTAACTCATTTAATGCACTTGATTAATAAAATTACAAAAACATATACAGTTACTTATAAAGTAATTTACACTGCTTAAAATAACAAATTTATATATTATTTAGATAATTTTTGAAAGTTTTAAAATATTATTATTGGTCAGTAATAGTCGATTTGTGCAAATTTTATCAAAGCTATTTTTTATTTTAACTCAAAAAATTTAATTTTTAATTAATGATCATGGTATATTGTAAATTATAGGCTTTTAAATGCATAAACATCCTATTTATTCAATATTTGTTTTCTTATAAACATTTATAATTAGTGGTGCAAACAGGATTTAAATGATCCATTTTTGTCGATTCATTTATTACACAAAATAAAACATAAAGCAACAGTGTAAAAAGTAAATATTTTAGCCAATCATTTATCGGCACCACTGTTTCCATACAAATGTATACCAAAATGTCATTTATTTTAGATATTTTTTATCATTAGATAAATGGTTGAATATTATCGGAAATTATTGAATAGACAAACTATATTAAAAGGAGGTACCAGGGCTTGAACCCGGGTCACCAGATAAAATGTCTGGTATCTTAACCATCCAGGTCACACAGCCCTCTAATAAAGTTTGCCTCTTATTTGGATATTTAAACGTATTACTATAGACACAACACTGTGTGTACCTAGCTCAAACCTACAGTTTAAATTTCAGAATTTTGTATTAGTATTTTGAATTAATTTCAATTTTAGTTTAGTATCATTTATGTTTAATAGTTGCCAGTAGCTATTATCTCCTTTACATGAATTGTACAGGAAATCATTTCTTGATTTTTATGTAAAACCCGCTCAATGGACACCGACTGAGAGGGTGTTTACTAGCAGTAGACGAGACTTACCGGAGAAGTCGATAAGTGAGTGACTGTCATATAAAGGATTCCGCAAAAAACAACATGAAATGAATATTTTTTCACATTATTACTTATTCCTGAATACACTGATATTAATAAATAAAATATTTTCACTATAGTGTGCCCATTATTACCTCATAACCAATGAGGAAAAACAAGGTGAAAACCTTGTTTATTGAGAAACATCTACTTGGTTAGCAGAATACTAAATAATGTGCTGGTAATGACCACAAATCTACAAAGCATTACAATTATAATTATGATTATATTATTATAAAAAGCTATTTAATATTCAAATAAAATAGCAACTTTATTATCCAATATAAACTTAGTTTTTAAACATAAAATATTAAATTGTTTTATAAGATGTCTATAAGTTATAACTTCGCGGGAAAGGTAGCCCTAATCACGGGCTCGAGTTCAGGTATCGGCGCCTCAATAGCCATACTTATGGCCAGAAGCGGTGCTCGCGTTGTGATCAGCGGTCTGGACGGCGCTGAAGTGCGTTCAGTGGCCGACGAGTGCGCGCGAGTCTCGCCGTCGGGTTTGTCGGCACTCGAAGTGGTCGTAGACTTCCGTCGCGAGTCCGACGTCAGGAAAGTCATTGACACCACTATTGAAGCCTACGGACAGTTAGACGTATTGGTCAACTGCGCCGGGTATATGGTTATGGCTAATATAATGGACCCGGATTATATTGAGAAGCAAAAGGCTATGTTTGACGTGAATCTCAATGCAGTCATACTGTTGACACA